TCCCCCACTCAGGTGCTCTCTTTCTTAAAAAACTTAAAAAAAATTTTTTTTAAATACGTGGTACATAAAACAAGTTAAGAATTGCCAACGGCCAGGTCTGTGTCCTTAGCCCTCGGGTGCCAGCAGGGGGTAGGGTGGGGTGGGCCCGGGCTGGGGCATGGATAGGGCAGCTGGCGCTGGGGCCCCTTCTGAATACACGAAGGACCTGGCCTTCGGCAGGAGCGCCGGGGCCACTGCCAAAGAGGGAGCGCTCGGGTGTGCCTCTTACCTGACGGCCTCCGGGCCTCTCCTCTGTGTCCCGCACTGCCCCCCCCAGCCGCACACGCAGAGCCTGGAGACCCTGAACCTGGGCCACAACCCCATCGGGAACGAGGGCGTGCGGAACCTCAAGAACGGCCTCATCAGCAACCGCAGCGTGCTGCGCCTGGGCCTGACGTCCACCAAGCTCACGTGCGAGGGTAGGGCGCGGGGCCGGGCCAGGGGAGCGGTGCCGGCGGGCTCGGCAGGCGGCTAGCCCGTGGCCAGCCCCTGCGGTCCCCCTCCCAGGCGCGGTGGCGGTGGCAGAGTTCATCGCCGAGAGCCCCCGCCTCCTGAGACTGGACCTTCGGGAGAACGAGATCAAGACGGGCGGGCTCATGGCACTGTCGTTGGCCCTCAAGGTGAACCGCTCACTGCTGCGCCTGGACCTCGACCGTGAGCCCAAGAAGGAGGCGGTGAGCCGAGGGGGCGCCTCCCGGAGGCCTCTGGCGGGTTGGGTGGGCCAGCCCCGGGCTCCCCCAGGATCCCCCTGCGGGGCCAGGCCGGCCACGCCCTAGCCGGGCCCGCTCTGCCCGCAGGTGAAGAGCTTCATTGAGACGCAGAAGGCGCTGCTCGCCGAGATCCAGAACGGCTGCAAGCAGAACTTCATGCTGGCGCGGGAGCAGGAGGAGAAGGAGCAGCGGCCGCAGCCGTCGGCCTCCATGCCCGAGATCACCGTCACCGAGCCCCAGCCCGACGAGGAGCCCGGGGACGAGCCCGCCACCAGGGCCCAGGAGAATGGGGCCCCGGGCCCCGGCGCCAGGCTGGACTTTGATTCTGACTCGGACTCTGAGGAGGAGGATGGGGAGAGGGCCGAGGCCCCCTGCCCTGCCCTGGTGCCCCCCTCGGACTCCCTGAGCCCTGGGGACAGGAGCCCCCCCGGCAGCCCCTCCTCCCCCACCGAGCAGCGCATTTCTGTGTCCAGCCCGGGCCGGGGCCACAAAGTGTTTGTGGTGACTCGGGTGGAGAGTCCTCCTGAGAGGGCAGAGCCCCCTGTGCCGCCCACCCCTCCCTGTCCTCCCCCCCCACCTGCCTCGGCCTCCCCGCCCGCCTCACCTGCCCTGCCACCAGCCAAGGCTGTCGGCGCTCAGGACGCAGCCGTGTCAGAGCCTCAGTCACAGCCGGAGCCTCCTCAGTCAGGGCCGCCTCTGCCCAACGGCCTAAAGCCCGAGTTTGCCCTCGCACTGCCCCCGGAGCCGCCGCCGGGGCCTGAGGCCAAGGCAGGCAGCTGCGGCCTGGAGCACGGTGAGCGCGGCTCTGGGGCCAGGTGCTGGGTGGGATGCCCTGGAAGCCTTTGGTTTTCTCCTCATTAAAATGGCCCGTGCAGGGGGTGCAGGGGGTGCAGGGGTAGGAGCTAGTAGGACTTGACCCTATTCCCCACCCTTCTTCCCACGGATCCCGGGGCGCTCTCCCTGGGAGGGAGCGGGCCAGATTTGTTGACTGGAGTCTGAGGGTCTCAGTGGTATCCTGAGGGTCACACTGGACAGCCCCCCCCCCGTCCCCGCCTGCCTGCCTGGAGGCCGCCTTCATGACCCCCCCCTGCTCCCCCGCAGAGCTGAGCTGCTCCAAGAACGAGAAGGAGCTCGAGGAGCTGCTTCTGGAAGCCAGTCAGGACTCTGGGCAGGAGACACTGTGACACTTTAGGTGAGGCAGGGGCCCCGGAGGGCTGGGGGTGGGGCGGGGGGCTCGGGGGCTGGTGGTAGAGCCCCTGGCTCTGACAGCCCCCCCATCTCTCCTCCCCAAGTTCCTTTTCCCCCGGTCAGTCTTCGATGAGCTGAGGCCAGAGCCATGAGAATCTGCTCACCTTCACCCCCAGCCTTCCGGAGGCCCAGGCCGCCAGGGGTGTGGGGGACCTTGCTGGGGACCCCTGCCCCCCACAGCAACACTACACGGAGTGCAGGGGGTGCCCTCCCCGCCCCAACTAAAGCGCTTCTCTCTCTGTGTCCAGCACTCGAAGGCTCTGGGCTGGGGGGATGGGAGGAGGAGGTGTCCGAGGACATCCACCGCCAGGCTGGATGCCTTTTTTCAGGAGGGCCTATTGGGCCCTGCTTGCCCCGTGGAGGGTGGGAGTCCCGGGTGGTGGCGGGGTGGCCCCCCACTGGCCCTGGGCACAGGAGCGGGCAGAGGGGCGGTGAGCGGTGGCGAGATTCGGAGAGCAGCCCCAGGAGGGGTGCGGGCCGGGGCTGGGGTTGGGGTGGGGGGAGCTGGGAGCAGAGGATCAGAGCTTTCTTTTTCTTAAGTGCAATAAATCTATCAGGGAGCTGGGGCCGGGAGCAGCCAGGGTTCTGGAGACCTTGCTGTCCAGGCCCCTTGAGGCTGCGCCCTGAGAGGCACTACAACCTGGGGGGCGGTGTGGGTGTGGGGTTCGGGTGGGCAGAGGGCGGGGGAGGGGCTCTTCCTGTCGGTGCAACTCTGTTCACACCTTTTCTAATAAACCGGAGCTGGGTTCACCACACACTCGCCTGCTCTCTGCTCGTGCTGATCATGGGCGCCCCCTACGGGACTCGTGGGCACAGGGAGCCGGGAGGGCGGGTGGCAACTGGGTTTCGTGCCAGTGGTCCCCCAAGGGAGTCTGGACAGACAGAAGCCACATTTCCCACACCACTTCCTGCCTTGGTGCATGCCACCCTCCCCCCCCCCCACTTTTTTTTTTTTTTTGCATTGTCCTCTCTCCTGTGTCTCCCCATCTGCTGACCCCTTACACCCCCGTTTCTCCAGAGGGAGACCCCAAAGTATCTTCCCGCATCAGGCCCAGGCTTTGAGGGTGAGATGGAGGCAAGCCATCCACAGCTCCGGGAGACCGGGCACCGGCTTGCCCCCAACAGCCCCAGACGCTGCCGGGGGGCGTGGCCCTGCAGACACTATCTTCCTACTCGAGGCTCCAGAACCGAGGGAATTCACTTCTGTTCTAAGCCACCCAGTCACGGGCCTCCGTTGTAGCGAGCAGGGCTCCTGGTTTCCAGCTGGATCACAAAGGGGGATCCCCTGGGCTAGGTATCTCCTTCCCTTGGCCTCAGCCACCCACGCATCGCTGGAGCTCTTTGTGAAGCCATGGCGAGTCTGTATGCTGGAGCCGGTCTTAAAGATGTTGGCGTCGGAACAGTTTATCTTCACGCATGTGACTGTTTAGGCAGCAGGCAGCCGTTCCCCACGAAGTGACTTGTGGCCCCAGGTCTGGTGGCCCTGCCTCTCCGTAGGGCCTCGGGAGCCCCTGCACCCGGCCGCTGGACGGGGTAGGGGAGTGGACCGGGCAGACCTGCTTCTTCATGTGTTGGCACAACGGGAAAGGGACACACGTCGCTTACTCTCCCTCTGTCAGTGGGAAGCAGCCCTGTGGCCTCCCGGGGCGCGGGGTCCCAGCAGCAAAGCTGCACGGATCATGGAGAGGCCGGTGGGCTGTCACGGTCCCGGACCCGCCCAGCCGCCCTGCGACACCCCGCTGTGGTTTTCTTAGCCTCCCCTCAGCCCCCCCCTGTTTAGCCCTGTCGTACTCAGACTTTGTCAGAGTCTAAGCGAAACGTACGGGCTTGCACCCCCGGTGGCCAGTCCCGCCACGCATCCTTCCGCTGGCGCCGGTGGCGGCGCGACCCAGGGGCACGCGCAGACTGGCTGATGGGAGGCCAAAGGGAAGGGACTTCACTGGCTCCCATCCCATGCGGACGAACAGTGACCTAATGGTGTCTCAGGGGCCATGTGTCTCTGCGGGGGTTTCATTCTTGGGTGGGGGCAGGTTTACCCCACAGCTTAGCTCTGTGGGACTGGAACACGGAGCCTCCGTCCTGGCAGCCCCAGTCACTGGCCCTTCCCGCACCCTGTGCACCTCCAAACAGTCGTTGGCCAGTGGACTTGGGGTTCTGCGCCCAGGCCTCAGAGCTGAGGAATGTGAGGTCCTACCCCCACCAGGCCGCAGGCCTGAGAGTGGGGGAGTTCAAAGAGCTCTTGGCTCCCTCTGGGCCTGTCCCCTCAGCCCTTGGCTCACAGGTCACACCCTTGGGCTCTGGTCACACAGGACAGGTTAAGTGTTGGTGGCCCCTGCCCAGCTGGCCTGGGTCAGGCACACTACAGGCCCGAGTGCGTGGCTGCCTGAGCAGTGAGGACGCAGAAGGTGCCCGAGGAGTGACACCTGCCTCCTCGCTGTGTCACACTGGTGGGACAGGAAAGTGTGAGCCACGCTGGCTAAGAAACACCGCTGCCCCCTCTGCCCCCACCGCAGCAGGTCTCTGCCCCTCAACTTCTCAGTCCTCCTCAAGGGACTCATCAGGTGGCCCTGGAGTGAGCCGCGGGCAGTTACTTGTTTGGGGAGGCAGCACTGCCCGCCCCAGCTGGCGGAGGTGCCTGCGAACCCGAGTTCATCCATTAGGCCAGGGGCAGAGCCACCCCGGGAGTGGAGCAGCCTGCTGAGGTCACCGGCGACACCGCCCTCGGAAGTGCTGCAGAGGGGCAGGCTAGGGCGTGGGGACAAGGACCTGGATCCCCCGAGGCCTCGGCGCTCCCCGTTGCCTGAGTCAACCAGGCACATCCGTCCTAATGCCCCACCTCGGTGGCCTCGCCCACCGCCCCCACACCGCCTCCTGCTCCCGGGGAGGCCAGCAATGAGGCCTCCGCCAGAGGCTGCCCTACTCCCTGGGGGTGACGTGGACTTGGCGGGACGGGGCAGGCCTGAGCCAGGGAGACCAGGGCATGAAGACCAGCAGGGGCTTTCACATCTCCATTTATTGCACTTGAACCCGGGCTTCTTCACTGGTCCTCTGGCGCCAGCTTCCAGACACTGGCACCGACCCACTGCGCCTGCCTGCAGCTCTCTCTGGCTCACAGATTCGCCTTGTGGGGTGGGGGGTGGCCACCGCGGGCCTCATCCCAGACACGGGCCGTGGGCCCCGTCGAACCCCTTACACTCGAGTCCGGGCGGACGTGGGCGCGGTCGCCTCCCGCCGCTCCCAGGGTACCCTTTCAAGGCCCGCCTGGGCTGTAAGGGTGCTCAGGCCACCTGCTTTGGCTTGCCGCCGGGCGCCGCCGCCGGGTCCCCGGGGTGGTGGGAGTCGCGCGTGTGCGCGGGGGCGTGTCCGGCGCCGTTGGCCGCGTGGGCCGCGGCGCGCGCCGGTGACCTGGGCGGGCTGGGCGGCTTGAGCGCGCTGACCGCCCGGAGGAGGCCCATGCGGCGGCGGATCGAGTGGTCCAGGTTGACGGTGCAACGCAGCAGGCTTTGCGCCTCGGCCACGGTGAAGGGGAAGTCGGCGCCCAGGAAGCGCTCGAAGAGCTCGGGGTCGCCGTCTAAGTCCAGCACGTTCTGCAGCGCCTTGGTCATGGTGTGCAGCTCGCGGCTGTTGTCGCAGAACACGTCCCAGAGGCGCGCGCGGGCCTCGGGCGCGCCCCCCGCCTGCTGCCGGTCCTCCAGGCACTGCAGCGCCCAGCTGAGGCGGCAAGGCCACTGGTTGGCGAGCACGACCCACGCTACAGCCTGGCGCGGCGTGGGGCCCCCGAAGCCCGCGTGCTGCTGCTGCAGCAGGCGCACGGTGATGGGCACGGTGTTGACGATGCGCCGCATGGACACCACGTTGTCGGGCACGTACTCGTACAGGCAGTCTCGCTCGTCTTGCAGGCAGAAGAGCGCCTCATGGATGCGGCGCGCCGCCTCGGCGTCCACTTGGCTCTGCGCGCGCTCGCCGTCCGCCTGCGTCTCCACCGCCAGCAGCCGCGCCACCTCGCCGCCCCCGCCCCCGCCGCCGGGCTGCAGCTTGCGCGTCATCTCGCGGTACAGCAGGTCGTCGCGGCTCAGCACGGCGTCGTGCAGGAACTGCAGCTTGGTGCGGCGGCCCATGACGGGCACGGAGAAGGGCAGCGTGACCGTGCGGTTGAGGAAGAGGTAGCCGTTGTCGGCCGTGCCCTTCATGGAGCCGGCGCTCTCGAGGCAGGCGGCCAGGATGCTGGGGTCCACGACCAGGATGAAGATGAAGGGCGCGTGGCTGTCGGACAGCAGCGTGTTGATGGCGTTGAGCACGCCCACCACGCGCTCCGGGTAGCACGTGTCCAGCCCGGTGACCTCGAGCACTACGCGCAGCCGCCGCCGCTGGTAGATCTCCAGGAAGCACAGGAAGTCGGTGAGCAGCTCCACCTCCTTCTTCACCTCGCACATGAAGCCCAGCTGGCTGCCGAACTTCTCGCGCGACACCAGCCGCTCGATCTTCTTGCGCTGGCTCACGAACAGGTGCTTGCCCACCGAGTACACGGCCATGAGCAGCCCCGAGCCCGACAGCGTGGTGGCCGCGCCGCCGAACACCCGGAGCAGGCTGCCGCCGGCGGCGCTGTGGCCTGGCGCGCGGGCGCCCACCGACAGGTAGAGCAGGCCCACGCCGAGGCCCAGCGCCGCCAGCAGCGCCAGCAGCGCCAGGCACACGCGGCGCCGGCAGTGCCACTCGCGCCGGCAGAAGCCCGGCGTCGTGGCCGGCTTGTTGCCCAGCACCGAGTACACGCTGAAGGGCAGCGCGCCGTACTGGTGGCGGATGCCCTCGCACAGCGTGGTCACCAGGCCGGCCCACAGCTTGTCGGTGCCCGCGTACTGCCAGGCGCTGAAGCGGATGAAGAGGAACTTGACGTTCTTGCGCCGCAGGTGCACCTCGGTGATGACGGGCTGCAGGAACACCAGGTACCACAGCAGCCGCGGGAAGCCCCAGCCGCGCACCCCCCGCGGCTGCCGCTGCACGCGCCGCAGCTCCTCGGCCTCGCGCTGCGCCGCCTCCTGCTGCATCAGCGCTGCGGGAGGGTGAGGGGGGGCGGGGCCCGCATGAGGGGCGGGGGCCTGGGGGCGGAGGCCTCGTGCCAGGCCCCGGATGAAAACGCTGACGCAGGTGCGGAAGGAGAGGCCTGAAGCCGGGCGGGGCCCGGGGAAGGTCGGAGGGCGGGGCCCGATGTCGTGGGGGTGGGGCCAGAAGCAGAGATCCCAAGTCGGGGGAGGGCAGAGGGGGCAAGGAAGGCTCTCAGGAGCGAAAGAATGCGTGCGAGGCGCCGCGGAAGCCAAGCGCAGGGGCAGCAGAGGGCAGCAGGGCAGATTTTCCTGGCTCGGTGCTCCTCCTCCTCCTCCAGGTCTCAGCTCAGCTGTCTCCTCCTCCAGGAAGCCCTCAGTGATCCCCAGGCGGGCTCAGGTGCCTCCTGAGCTCCTCCACCCCAACCCTACCCACTACTGGGAGGGGGGGTGTCATCCCTCTCTGGGGACAGTCTGCCTCCCTCTCTGAACTGTGAGACCAGGAAGGGGAGGGCTCTGATCGGTTTGGTCATCCTGTGTCCCCTGGGCAGCAAGGAAGCACCGGGGGAGGGAATGTCTGAAGGATGGATCACGAGAGGTTGAGGGTCAGGGTCCGCCTGCTATTGAGGTCAGTGAATGAATGAGCGGGCGTGTGTCAGTCACCTAGTACGACTAGGAGCTCCGGAACGCGGCTCCCTGTTTCCCTCTAGCCACCCGTCTCCTCCCAGGACCCTGTTTGTCACTCAGCAGGGCCAGGAGCAGGGAGGTGAATCTCCCGCAGCCCCTCTGGCCACAGTCGGGAGCTGGGGTCTGGGCAGGGTTTGAACCAGGCCTGAGTTGCCGTGGATCTTGGCTCCGCGTCAGCCCGTGTGATCGGTTAACATCTGTTAGGGGACCAGTGCTCAGAAGGGATGGGTCTGGGGGTGGGCACAGGAGGGACTTTGTGGGAGCCAGTGAGGAAGCTGGGTTTTCTCCCGCGCGCCCCACGGAGGGCTTCTGAACAGGGGAAGGTCAGGGCTAGAGCTGTATCTTAAACAAGATTTCCTTGGGGTGGATCTGCCGAGGAGGGGAGGAGACTGTTGGCCAGGACGCCAGAGAGGAAATGAGCGGGGGGGGGGGGG